GGGGTCATTAAGAATTGGCGGGGATAGCGGGGAGCGGTCCGTAAATCCTAAGGGCTGGATGAAGCTGACCATTTCACAGCTGGATTTCCTTTGAGATAACAGTGTTCTCTGTGTACAAAACACTCTGTAGTGCTTTGCTGACCACTGCAGGGCTTCCTGGGGACTTGTGTCTTTTTGATAACGGATTGAAGCCCTTCAGTGGGGTTTACTTTGAGAGTCTTGGTCCTAAATAGGGATCTGGTTTAGGGTAGAGTCTCTGATCCTGCTGACCCCAGGGTGAATGGAACTTGTGGTCAGTCTGACCTAGGTGCAGGCTGCCTTCCCTGGCAGTACCCAGGGTGTGTGTAGGGTACCCATGGAGATCCTTGGACCTTTCTGTCCCTCACTGGGTCTCCTGAGGAGTAGCCAGTCAACAGACACAAATGAGAAGCACCTCGTGCTCTCAGCCACAGGACGGAGTGTGAGTGGAAGGAGTAGGGAGCCGGGCAGGGGAGGGACAGAGAAGAGATTCTCATCCTCTGGGAGCTCCTTCCACTTGGGGAGAGCGGTCGGTGGACAGGCAGCTATAAACCAAGCCTAGACCTAGGGGAGCTGGAGAGAGAAGGGGGCCACTGACAGTGCTCATTGGTCCAAGAGACAGGGCAGGAGAGGTCAGGGGATGCAGCCATGTATCTCCAATGACCATTTTCACAGGCGTGTTTGATGTGGGGTCTGGGTTGCCCTCTTACTGTGGTCTGGCCCATGTTGCATCCAGGTTCTTTCAAAGGAGGATCTGCCTTGGCCTCTCTTATCACCACCCCTTCTCAGGGACAAGACCCTTTCTCAAGTCCATCCTGTAGCTCCCTAGTACCCCATCTTTCCATGGAAGCCCTGAGGCAGTGATTCGGCTCTAAGCCCAAGGACGGGTCTCTGTGTGCAGGAGGTGAGCTCTCTGCAAGGAGAATGGGCCACCCTTTCCTACCCAGACACCCCCACCACCGTCACCACTGTACACACACACATACACCTTGCTTCTTAAACTGAGTATGCAAAAGAAATGGCCATTTCGGGAGACCCTCTGGGTTAGTTTTCATTTCTTAAGTCTGTATTCCTTCACCAGAAGGGTCAGAGCCTCCATGCATTTCCACACCATGACCTCCCCATCTCTCTCCTGTGACTGATGGCAACTGGCACGCGCCATTGTTTTCACGTAAAGGTCAGCACTGGCCTTCCTGACCCGTGGAGCAAGCTGCTCACTTCGTGCGACCATCAAGCAGGGACAGGATTCTGCTGAAGCTGGACGTGATTTTAGAGAAAGGAGAGTGTTTATCCAGCACAAGAGCCCATCAGAGGCAAGCAACCTATGCATCTTTGAGGTGCCTGTGTGTGGTGGGGTGCCTGTTCAGGTTCCTCAGGGCTCCTCAGTCCAAGGTAGACCACTCTGCTGTTGCTCGCATCGGACTTGTTGGAGGTTCCAACGCAGAGAGCTGAACAGAAACCAAGTGCACAGAACAGAATTTGAATCTTGACATTCGAATGTCACCCTCGCAGCCGCACAGTCAGCTGCTTATTGCTTTGAAATCAGTGTAATGAGCAGCCTAGCCGTCTTAGAAACACACCCCCAGGTCCCCCTAAAACACCTCCGTTTCTTTTCTTTTTGGGGAGGTGTAGACTCCGAGCCATTGCAGGAGCTGCTGAGTCAGTGTGTCTTGGTTTTGGAGTGTCTAAGGTAGGGGAAGAAGTGTCTCTGAGAGCTCAGAGTGACTAAAGAAAACAAAGCCCCTGGGAGGGTGTCCTCCTAAATCCTACTGTGAACTCCATTATCATTGAGGTCACTGTCCCAGGGGAGAGCAAAGCTTTGCTGTGGAGCTGTGGACACAGGTTTCCAAGGGAAGGAAGAGCTGCTGTCAGAGGATGCTTGCTGCTTCCTGGTGACTCTGACAGCTGTTTGAATGTGAAAGCCACCTGTCCCTGTCTGTGCACGTGCTATGCAGACACACATGCCACACGTAATACATACCACATGTGTTTCTGGAGAATGACGGCTGTCGGGCCTTTGATTGTTCAGCAGCAGTCTCTCGCGGAGGCTCTGAGTCCCCTCGGTACCTGGTTGTCTGCTGACTTGGAAGCAGGCAGAGGCTTAAGGAAGCCTGGCCTCACCAGAGTCAGCTGACAGCAGGCCCTGTGGTTTGTGTCCAGTGAGGAGCCAGGTGCAAGTATTTTTTTTTTCATGAGAAAAAGTTCCCAGAAATGTATAAATAGGTGACTTAGGGATTCTCTCAGGGAAAAAAATAAAAATCACCCTCCATTTGAATAACAGTAGGAGGTAAGTGTGACTATAGTCTCACGTGGGAAGCTTTAAGGATGATCTATAAAAGACCCATAAGCAGGCTGAAAATCATTCTCTCCAGTTGCTTTCATTTTATTAAGGCAGAATTTAGATTAAAAGTGAATTGGGGCTGGGGATGTGGCTCAAGCGGTAATGTGCTCGCCTGGCATGTGCGGGGCACTGGGTTCGATCCTCAGCACCACATAAAAATAAAATAAAGATGTTGTGTCCACCGAAAACTAAAAAATAAATATTAAAAAACTCTCTCTCTCTCTCTCTCTCTATCTCTCTCTATCTCTCTCTCTCAAAAAAAAAAAAAGGAATTGATGAGATTTCACTGAAAGGTTGAACAGAGCACACCACACAGGGTGGGTTTCCATGCCATGAAATGAGACCCCTGGGGCTGGGGCAGGTGGAGTGGTCCTGGCCCCCTTCCTCCCACACCCAACCCCTCAGGCTGCTGGGGGACCCCTCTTTTTGGTCCTAGCTGTCTTGTGCTCTGGAATCTCCCCAGGTCCCCCTCCTGCCTGGTGGACCTGGCCACTCCTCCCCGAGGCTGCTCCCCTCCCTGTGCCTTTGGCCCTGGCTCTGAAAGGCCCTGTTAATCTGACTTTCAACCTAGGCTCTGAGCTCTGGGTCTTATTCATCTTTGTGTCCCTACTGCCTAGCACCAAGGAGATAAAAACTCAGCAATTGTCAAATGGATGTGTCGCTCACCCCAAAGCCTGCGGTCATCTCCATTCATGTCTCCAGGCCCTACGGCTCTCTCTCTACCTGTCCAAGGTAGATGAATCCCGTGGCTGCACTCTGTGCCAAGCACTGCCATCTTTCACCCACCACAGGGCTGCGATTGCTGGCCCGGGCTCCCTCGGCCACTTCTGAGTGTGCGCCGCTCAGTTCCTGTTCTGAAGAGCACCTGTGATCATCCACAAGCAGTAACAAGCATATCTGCTTTAGCACCACGGGCGGCTGTTCATCTCCCTTACTCCTAAGGAACGCTCCTTAACAGACACGTCAAATTCTGCAGGGGCCAGGGGGCTCATGGTTTTGTTGTTGTTGTTTCTTAGAAATAAAACCAAAGCGTAATTGTGGTATCGATACTGTAAAGAACAAACTGAAAAGAAAACAGAAAATTTCAATTTCCAGAATAGGCCACCTATCACTGAGTTGTGAAATCAAATGAAATTTGTGTGTTTTTTTATCCCTTCAGGACACCTGTCTGTCTATATTGAATTTACCCTAATCTTGAGTAGTTCTTGGGGAACCCCAATCCCACCTGCCTGTCTTCCTTCGAGGTTTCTTGTCCCTGAGTGGGAGTCCTACATTCTCACATATTTGCTTACCCAAGACCCCAGCTGACTTAGATGACACTCCTTCCTGGGATTTTCCAGAGCACCTGTCTCTGCCTGGTCCTGTCCAGAGTGGAGGCTAGGGTGGGAGTCTGTGGCAATGTCACCTTCCTCCTTCTCTGAGAGTCCCCCGCCTTTTTAAACACGGGTGACATTACCTCTAGTTGTGAATATTCCTATTTCTTTTTTCTCCCATCTCTCCTTTGAGGAGTGGGGTCATAACGTATGTTCAAACCACTGGGCAGGATGTGTGCTCAGCCACTGTGCTTTTTTCCATACTGTACATATTTGTTGTGCTCAGAGGGGAAGGCGTTTCCCAGTCGCCCTGTCTCTATCCCACCTTCTTGCATTGTCTGGGAAAATTCTGTATGTCCTGGAGCTGTCTTTGGTGGCTCCACTGGTCAGATGAGCAAGGGAGAAAGTCCTGGGCATGGGGAGAAATGAACGGAAATACAGCCCAGGGCTCCTTGCGGATCACGGGGATCACAGGGATCCCACGCCTACCTGCAGCTTAGCATGGATACTGGGCCACCTGTCTGCTTCTGCCAAATGACGCAGTGAGCTTGTCCATCTGGGTGCTCCAGGAAGCATGGCAGCTGCCCAGGTTACCCCAGGCCACAAGCACCCTAGGCACGTGTGCCCCACCCTTGGCTAATTTGTAGGGCTGAGTCTCTCTTGGGCATTTCAGACTTGTTTTCCATTACTGCAAAAAAGTACATGCCATTAAAAAAAAAAAAAAGCATTTTTCAGTGTGCCATATGTAAACCTCATGATGATCGTGATGTATTCTCACTCACACAGAAGAACATTGCAGTACCACAGTGGGGTTTTTTTTTGCCACTCTGCACTTAATCAAAGGCCACTAAGATACAAGACTATGGTGTTGTCCATGACTCTTTAGACATTAGAAAAGTGGGACGGTGGTCTTCATCTGGCAGAGGCTAAGCAGCCCGGATGGAAGACTGCAGGTGTGGTGTGATGAGGTCTCCTGCTCTCAAAATGTCTAGGGCAGCTGGGTGATTTCCTTGTCCTTAGGGGCCTCGAAAATCTAGTGGAATGAGTGGAATGGCTGTGGACCCTGGCACATCCCCCAGAAAACCACGACTGTGGCTGCTGGAAGCACCCAGAGGAGCGGTTAACACTGCACCCCAGGCCTTCGCTGGCCACTCAGTGGTCAGCGCAGCCATTTATGGGTGTGAGCCCTGTAGAGTTTGTCACAGGCTGTGGCTTAGAGGAGGACAGTTCCAGGGAATGTGCCGACTCCACCACTCCAGAGCTGTGTGATAACTCTGTACCTTCTGTAATTAATCATCTTTCCCCCCCACCCCGCCTTTTTTTTCCAGATAACTTGTTCAAACCCAAAGAAAGGTGCATTTCAGAGAAGGAGATGCATATGAGATCTAAAAGGTACCTGGTTATTATGTGACATGGGAGGAAGTTGGGGAGGGAGTTGGGGTGACTTGACAGCGCTGACCAGTAAGGCCACTTTCTAGGTCCATGTTTAAGGTCTGATGTCCTCTTGGCTGCAAATCTGAAAACACTGGTTTAACTGAGCACAGCGGCAGGAGTGTGCCTCTGAATGCTCATCTGCTCTTGGAGAAACATAGAAAGGGGTGGGTCTTTGATTCTGGACCAATCCAGTACTGGTCTCTGAGAGATCCCTTGGCTCCCAGCTGGAACTGCCGGGCATCATCGCTGTGGGCTGGAGCCGTGTTGCTGCACCTCTGAAGGTTTCTCCCGGGGCCTGACAGCAGCAGAGCCTGAAAGACAGGACCCAAGCTGGAAGCCGCCGGAGCCTGGGAGCTAGTGGGGCCTTGGAGGGGCCACCAGCCGGCTTTCCTGGTGCTATGACTCTGGCAGGCTTGGTGGCCCCCAGTCAGTGAATTCTCCCTGTTCTGCTCGGCTGGTTGTTTGCCAAGACTCCCACTAATTCTCACCAACCTGGTGCACACAAAAGCTGCCATTCTTCTAGAGACCTGGCAGCCTAACCAAAATGCTAAAGCTCAGCAGTGTTGGCCACGTTCATGCAAGTACAGTCGTCAGGGCTCAATAAAGCATCTGGCACGAGGAGGGATTATAATAATTAAATCAAACTGATAGTGCACTTAGAGACACCACTGAGATAGAAAGAATAACCCCACATACACTCCAGCCCCAAATCTCTGCTTTTACTGTGATTTTGTTGTTTCCCATGATAATTAGACCACTTTGATTGTCCCCAGGGAACACCTTTGTCAATAAGGAAATGAAAGCGACAAGAAGGTGGACCTTTCTATCAGAGGTCTGATTCACAGCATTCTATCCAGGGTTTATAAAAGGCTGCTGGGTTTGAAGTCTTGCTGTTTCAGAAGTACAAAGTTGTGTGTTTCTTCTGCCAAAAGCATCTAGTTTTCAATTTAGCAGGGGAAAAGTATAGCCAGATTCCTCCCTGTGCGTGCGTGCACACACACGCGCACGCGCGCACACACACACGTGTACGCGCACACACACAGTCCTCAACCCCAGACCCACTACTATGGAGCTTTGCAAATCAAGCAACTAAAATAATAGATCTTAAAGCAGCGTCAGTAGCAGAGTCTTGCTCCATCCTTTCATTAGGAGGAAACTGAGGCTCAAAGCAGACAGGAGAGCTGGTGACGCTGCACCCGGGTCGCTGCTCTCCCAGCTGGTCTCTGAAGGATTCAGCAATCTTGTTTCTCTCTGCTCTGTGAGACGTGCCCTGGCTGGGTGCTGGCCCTGGCTCACCTGGAGCTTTCCTTGTTTTTGCATTCTCTGTTATTAATTTTACTGTTAAATTATATTTTCAGTTGGAAAAAAGTGAGACAATGGAGATAAAGCTCGAGTCCCCTCATAACTCCTGCTCCCCTTGCAGCCTCCTCCCCAGCCCCAGCCCATCTGCTGCAAAGACCTCAGTTGTGTCTCCCTTCTCTCTACCTTGAAGTAGACTTCTGTTTGTTCATGAAGAGTTACGTGGTGTTTGACCACAATGGTGTCATACCATGTTGTCTCCACAGCTTGCTTTTCTCACAGTGTAATATGTCAGAAGACTCAGATTGTCTTCCTTGTGGCTTTGACTCTAGGCAGAGTATGGCCCATGGGATGGGTAAGACCATGATGTATTTGGGGATCTCTTTTAAGAAACTACTAAATCAGAAATAACCAAGGTGGGGTCTGTGAGTTTTACTTTAAACTCCTCAGTTGATTTGGATGGCCAGAGTCAGGAAGCGATATCCATGGATCTGAAGGACTTTCCACTGGGGAGATTGGGGACATGATAGCTCTTCCTTCTGATCCCCGATGGGCTCCTTTCTGGAATCATGTTTGGAGTATTCAGGAATACATGAAGGATGTGTGTTCCCAACATTTCCCCACCCACCAGCAGCTTCATTCTGCCTAGTTGGGTGAGCGCTGTGTAGAGGGTACGGATCAGAGACTGAGGTCTGAGTGCCAGCTCCCTGTGAGCCCACAGCATGGCTTCACCAAATCTCCTGGTAAATGAGGGCCTGGGTTCCTCATTTTTCTAACAATGGGACACCACCTGCCTCCTCCAGTGGTCGTGTGGGTTGAGTTTATTCATGTCAAGGGGTCTGCCTGGTGCCCGGTAACTAAGATGTCACCTGCTGACACTGTTATCATCATTATCTTTGTACTTTGTTCTATAGTTTTGATAATGGAGCAGATTGCATTGGGCTTTCAAACATGAGAGAAAAAAGAGATCTTTTAGCTGAGTGCCATGTGTATGGCAACCATCAGCTCTGGCTGCAGTGGCCCTGTTAGTTGGTGGGTTCTAGAAGCAATACTGGTTGACATGGGCATGTAAAGAGTTTCTGTTAGGAAAGAGGAAAGAAGAAGAGTCCCGCGGGCCCTGCATGTAACTTGGGAACTCCCACTTTAACATAAGAGAAGGGCATAATAACTGTGCCCAGGATGTATTTGGAAACAGCTTAATTAGACGTGCAGACTCGTAAGAGGAGGCACACACACCTTCTCGCATGTTTGTTCCAGCATTGTAATTCCTGCCACTTCTATCTGTTCTGCCTTCCAAGTCTCTAGAAGGTAATCATTGGGTGGCAAAAAAATTAAAAAAAAAAAAAAAAGGTTTGGGGGGCAAGTTTGAATAACACTCAGAATCCAAAGCAGAAGGTTTAGAATCCCCCGATTTACAGGTTACTTAATTATCCCTGAGGGTGGAAGGACAAGGGAAGTGACTTCCAAGGAAATACCTGGCCCCTCCAGCTTGGCTGTTACACTGGCCTTACAAGTACAGAGACGAGGTGCTGTCCCCAGTGTGGAGCTGTTCTGGGGACAGTGGGGAAGCCTTCATGTTGGCATCTCCCCACGTGAAGGAAGCCCATGTGCCTAGTCTTCTTTGAAGTGTCAGAGGCTCTGACAAGGCAAGATGCTCTGTGCCCAGACACAAGCTCTGCTACCATCCAGAATGTTCTCTGTGTCTGTTTCAGAATCTATAATAACTTGCCAGAAGTTAAAAAGAAGAAAGAAGAGCAAAAGAAAAGGGTTATCTTACAGAGCAACAGACTCCGAGCTGAAGTCTTCAAAAAGGTAACGGCTCGTGCCAGCAGGTATGAGGCGTGTGGCCCAGAGCCATGAACATGCACTTGACATCTCTGTTTCCCCATCTCTCCAGCAATTACTGGACCAGCTCCTTCAAAGGAACGCAGTCTGACCTGGGCTGCCCTGCTGACCACAACCTGGACCTGGGAAGACTTCAAACACTGGATAAGCCATTAAACTTAGCATTACCTTCACAACATGAAAACACGTATTTTACTTTTGATTTTTTTTTTTTTCCATAAAGGAAAGAATCACTTCCTGAATGACCCAAACAAACAGCACGCCTGAGGAACTAGGTCAGCAGTCTTGCAGGGACATTGACTCCATGGAACCCGCTAGTCTTTGTCCCTTTCTTTTTTCTTTTTTTAACTTCCCAATTTTACCTTTGTGTCTAGGGCTTCTCCCGGCCATTTCCACCAAGCAGATGGGCCTTGTATACTCAAGTGTGTTTTGGTCTCTGGGGGATGTTTTTTTTTTTTTTTTTTTAAATAAGATTTCTGGGACCAAAATCCATCACTTTTTATATACAAATCCCAACATCTGCCAATTCTTGCAAAATCCAAAATGGGGGTCCTCACAGCATGTTTTAAAAGTGCACCCCTAATGCCAGAGACTGCAGAGAGAGAGCAAACTGCCTCCCTCAGCTGCCCTCTCTCCCCAGCCCCCCACAGCGCCTGACCTGGCTTAGCTAGAGTCTGTTTCACCGGAAGCTGAGGGCAGAATCAGCTGATAACTCTGTAGGAACATCAGTGCTTTCTGCACACGCACCCCTTCCTCAAAAGCTGTTTTGTTAAAGTGGCCTAAGAGCTCCAACTCTGCTATTTGTTTTTCCAAACACTTACAATGTCCAGTATTTATAAATGTATTCAGGAAGTTAAGAAAAGCTAGTTTTTACAGCAAAAAGGAAATAAATGCAATTATTCAAAAATTCAAGTGTTTCTCTCTTACGTATGCTGATCTGGATTGAACAGTGGCGACAGGTTAACAATGGTGTGAAATGTCTTTATGGGAACCCCAGGGTGACACTCTCCTCCTCTGTTCCCTCTGGCTACCATGGATTCCAGATGCCCCATGGGAGAACATTGCCTCCCAGAAACCTCATATAAGAGAAAAGAGAAAACTGTTGGGAGCAAGATTTAGGATCCCGAAGGCCCCCCAGACTCACCAGGAGTACCCCCAGGAATGAGAGAAGTTTTGAGGATGTAGCAGGACCCCTCTGTCCCTTTCCCATGGTGTCAGCCTCCCTGTCCGACCCTCTATAGCACATAGAATGCCTGTCCATTCCCTGTCCGCTAGCCAATGCCTTCGGAACTGCACCGCAGGGTTCTCCCCGACACCCTCCTGCTCTGCTCTGCCCATGCTCACTCTGCTTGACCTCCTTCCCATCCATGAGAGGCTAACAATGATAGCAGGAGCAAGGCTCTGGAGCCCGGCACCCGGTCTGCAGCCTTCGGCAAGGGCATCAGCTAAGATCCAGGAAGGAACCCCCAGGGCAGTTTGAGAAAGTTTAATGCACTTATTAACCACACAGAGGATGGGCACCATGAGAAGTTAAGACTCCTCCAAAGAACACAGGTAGGAACACCAGGTGAAAGGAGTAGTGCTACCTCTAGAAGAGTCCCCTCCTGCCCCCGGTGACGGGGAATGGTGTGGTTCAGCAGATAACAGAAGTTTCTGTGCTGGTGTGCAGATGGAACTTGTTGAAAATCCACCTTCTGGAACTTGCCAGAAACCTGCACAAGGAGCAGTCTTCTCTGTGGCCATCTGCTCTACCACCAGCTCAGGAAGGCCAGTGAGTGTGCACTGCAGGGGCCTGGCTGAGCTAAGCAGGACCCAGAAAGCAGTGCCTTCCTGTCCTGCGGTATCTCTCTAGCGGTTCCTACCAAAAGGCTTACCACTGTGCTAGCAGGCAAAGGGAGATCATTCAAAGGGCCTGGATGCATTTTAAAAGAGCAGGCAAAAAGGGTGAATTTGGAGGTGACAGAATACAATCAAGAGCTGGCACAGTAAGACATTTAACCTTGCTTCAGTTTCCTCAACTGCCAGATGCAGAGAATTATAGTGCCTCCTTCCCAGGGTTGCTATGGAAACAGAGTGAATAAACCTGAATGGAGTATGTGGCAGGACCCTGGCCCCAGAGCACACCTGGGAGTATTTGTCCGTCATGGGCAAAGTTGGGAGGAGGAGCAAGAGGCCGATGACTGTTCATCCGGGGACCCCTCTGGGTGAGGAGCCTCGGAGGCCACAGAACTCACGGCCTGGCTGCAGCTGCAGCCAGTGTACTAGCGGGTGCTTGGCAAAGGTACCTCACCCTGGGGATCATTTCAGCCACACAGCTACCTCACGGTAAGGTCAGTTCTGTTTCCTTGAACTATTAGACTCTCCCAGGATGCTACACTCAAGTCAAGTTTGCCTCTTAAGTGCTTTTTAAAAAAAAAAAAAAAAAATTAAGTCCATGACATTTAAGGACAGTCTTTCCTAGCTAATGTGGCAGACTCACCTTTTCTTGAGTACCTTCAGAGAAGCTCTTCCTAACCATTTAAACTCAGGACCCAACCACTTACAGACTGTTGTGTGACACTTTTCAAGAAATGAATTTATGTCCACTAACATTTTTAAAAGAAAAATACCTAGAGGGAACCAACTTTGAAAGAGTCCTGAAAGAGCTTGTCATCCTTGCAAACCTGTTGCAGAGTCCTAAAGTCTAAAGAATAATACAAGTCAACCTGAGATTAAATACATTGAAAAACGTGCTTCTGGGGACAGCCCCTAACCAAGTGCCTGAGGTGGCATGTTGACCAGGAAGACACGCAGTCTGGTTTGAGCTGGTCTTGCCTCTGGACAGCCAGCTTAGGGCAGGCGAGATATTAAAGTTTGGTTTCCTATTGAACTGACTTTTCCCATTGTTGTAGAAATTGCTTTTAATGCTGACAAGTGGATTTTAGTGCCAGCATTTCTTCTCTGTTGTAATTAGGTTATAACAAGAATATAATCATGTAATAATATGGAAGTAAAGGCCTGAGGAGTCAAAACAGCCCTCCCTTATATTTCTCTTAGGAATTAGTCACCATTTGATGGATTCTTTTCTTGAAAGACTGTAAAATTTTAAAAATTCTGAATGGAATTTACCACTTTAACTTCAATAAACAAATTCTGTTCTGGAATTGATTTATCTACATCTGAGGATGTTTGGTTCTGGCATGAAAAGAGGTCCTCAACAATTCAGCAGGTAGCTGGGGCTAAAGACCTTCAGCTGAGCTTAGACAAGGTAAGATTGGAATCACAGGGACGACCCAGTGGTGACAGCACCAGGCTGTCTCCATGTGGTCGCCATGACTTCAGGTTGAAGCAGAAATTCCTATTTTGGTTATGTGGCCTCTCTGCCAGCTGGTAATGGAATAATGGAAAAACAATCACTTTGGTTTTGCAGCCAGCGTCCACTGCCAGCCAAACTTCCTGGAAGTTGTGTGCGCCCGGGTGAGTCAGCAGATGCCTGCTCAGACGGAACAAGGCTCTTTGGAGGAGCTATTTGTGAAACAGGCAGTCGTGGGAGAGTGCTTGGAAAGTCCATGTCTCATGCAGTTCTCCCATTTCAGCACTTGGTGAAAAATCGCGGCAGTGGAGCTGGCCTCTGAGCGCATCAGATGACCAAGAGTCTGAGTATGAGGCGCATTAGATAGAGGCCAACAGGAGCGGGAGAGCCGGGGACAGGATGTGACTGCCCGGGGTGGAGGGGGGTGCTCTGACCATCGGTACGTGAGAGTTCTGGGTTAGAGAGTAAGAATGAGTTAGAAACGTGGTCTGCCGTGGGTTTGCGTGGGGGGCGGTAGTGTGCGCACTGACAGCGCAAGAATCACGCTGTTGAGCAGAGAGTGAGCGCATCAGAAGCAGATGGTGCACAGGACGGTCCTGACTGCTTTCATCAGTACTTGCCCGAGAGTGTCCAGCTCTGCTGTACTGCACCTCTCAGAGTTGGCTGTCACTGGCTGAAGCAGTCTGCTGCAGGGACTGAATCGTCTAGGAAGTCCCTCCAGGCCACTCTTGTCTGTCCCACACTGTCGGGACGTTTCCGGGCTGTCGGAAAGCTCCTGGAGGTTCCCGCCCCACTTCTCCCAGGCCCAGCGGCTCGCCTGGGAGTGGCAGCTCCTTCACTCAGGCAGATGTTTTAGCCACATGGAGCAACAGCTTTGGCAGGGCTCCCCGAGAATCCAGGGCCTTCTCTCAAGTTGTTCTCAGGCACAGATCTGAGCCTCAGACCCCAGGAGACTGCCTGATGTAGCTGTCTGGGGTGTGCTTGGAGGGGGGAGGCTGGACATTCAAATCCTTCCACTTTTTCCTTGCCTCTCCTTGTTCACGCACACACACACACACACACACACACACATACACACGTGCTGCACGCGCCTGATCTGCTGGAGCCGCTGGAAAGCTGACTTCCAGCCTGGCCTTTCTCTCAGGTCTTTCTTTGCGCATCGTGGAGCAGGAGAGGGGAAGGAAAGAGAGACCCTGTCCGCGGTCTGGCATCTGGAAAGAGTGCCGGTTATTCTTATCAGTGCTTGAAAGGGAAGACAGAAGCTGTGGGTCCAAACAGCATCAAGGGAACAAAATGAATTTCTCTAGATGGTTTTTAGTAAATAGCACCAAGAGTAAACACAGAGAAAGTGCCCCTTTGATGGCTTTGGGGCATTCTTCTGTCTCAGCATCTTCCCAACATGCCTGCAAGGGGGGCACAGCTGAAATGGACATGGGGAAAGGCCACAGCTGTCACCCATGCTCACCACACATGGTGAGGATTGTCCTTTCATGGAAATCAGCAGGCCACAGGCTTACCTGCCCAGTAACCAGAGAGAAGGAAATGACATGTCTGTTCACACTGCCGACTTGCCCACGCTTCCGTGTTAGAGCCTCTGTGGCTCCTCCAGCCTGATGGTACTGCGGACACCAAACGGACACCAAATGGATTCATGGTGACAGCCCTCTTGACAGGTCTGCACGACCAAGTGTGTGCTTCACATTAAAGCTTCCAAATATACACAGAGAGTCTTTGTTTTTGTTTAAAAATATACCAGAAGGCTAATGAGACCAGGTTTAATTATTATCTGCTGACATAATTATAGTACTAGGTCTTGCTTTCTTAGTGGAAATGTTTATTAAATAAAA